GGTGTGTGTGATGTGGTGCCGCTGCTATCTGCTGGTTGTCGTGTGCGTCCGAGGTGTGGGTGATCTGGTTCAGTGGCAAGAGAGATCAGCTCCGGGTTTGCTGTAGTGTGCAGTAAATGTGAATTGCGGCTTTCGTGCGACGAGGGGCTGGCGCGAGGTGGGTGTCTGTGAGAAGTGCGTGACAGTGAGAGTGGGTTTGCTAGGGTTAAAGATGCCTGGCGCGTGTGTTTGTCGGTGCGCGCTCGCTGAGGCGTGGGCGACGGGTGGCGCTGCCAGTGGGGATGGGTGAACAGGGTTCGTAAAAGGGCGTCGGGTGCGGCGTTGAAAACATTTCAACACATATGTGCAACTGCTAGCACAGCACGTGTACAAACCACAGTTGGTAGGTTGCAGTGGATTGGTGGGTGGTGCTCATATGTATGGATGACTCTCATATATGGATCCCCTATGACAGATAGCCAGAAATGTTATGCTTATTTACACTCTTTACTTTTTCAGTTACATTAAGGATTTCAGGTTTTTATACGTGCCCAAGTTTACACCTCAATATAATGATTAAGATGTATATATATTTTCTGTCATGAAATGAGATTCGCTTTGCCGGACATTACTTCGTGCCTTTAGAGGGACATTTTGATGAAACTCAGACCTCATGTACTTTTAGAGATGCTGTTCAGGCTTAAGCTCTCTGTATTAGTGGGCACAAACGTAGTTTTATGTTAGGTTGGCTCGTTCGTCGTGGGCGATAGAGAGGAAGAAGAGAGGACCCCGCTGGGTGGCAAGCATACAGTGGGGTGAGATTGGGGATGTCGCGATAGATCTCAAGCAGGTCCTTTATGCTTTGTACCATATACAGGGGTGGGAACTTGAGCATGGTGCTTTGCGGGTTGGAGATTGCCTGGTCTCCTTTGGGACAATGAGGTCGGAGGGGTGCTCACACTGCGGGGAGGGAGTTTTCTGGCGAAGACGAGACCCTAGAGGGACAACGAGAGAGTAAAAAGTGCCATTAAAGAAATAGCTATAATATTTACATGCACATAAATAATGTATTTTAATGTTGCTGCAGCAGCAAGAGCGGTGTGTTTGGGATGAATGCAATTAGCTAGTTAGTTAGCATGAGCATAATCTTAGTCAAGAGAAAATCAAAGTGGGTGCAGTGCAAAAATAGCAAAGCAGCACCCGCTCACTTATCTCAAGTATCACCAAAATACAAACAGTGAATCAAAGGGAGTTGCTGATTACCATACCACTGCTGATTAAACAAGATGACAGAGAGAAATGTCAAGTCATATCTCAGAAAACATGGAAAACTTCAATAAATGGTTTTTATAGTTCTAATCTCTCACAAACATATATTTTCATTGTTTCGCTAAAAAACTGATTGTACACACATGTGACTGACAGAATAAAACTAGTATAATATTGTATAAAGTATAAGTAAAGTCCTTGTGAAAGGAAAGTTGATTAGTGTCAGGTTCTGGCTGCACTATATGCTGTGTTACTACACTCAGGCTCACATATTTACTTTCACAGACAGGAGCTGAGGAGTCATTACATCTCATTAGCTTTTTCATTAACACGTTCCATCAAACACTGACATCATCAAACATGTTGTCTCAGTGGGAGTGGAACAGCGACTGCTACTTTGGATTCTTCACTTTGTACTGTAAAAGCGTGGATATCCAACGTTTACAATTCTCTTACCCCCATAAAAGCCTACATTATTATATTAAAATGCATAATATTTAGACTTTAACGAGGGTATTTCTGGTCAATCCTCAGCAAATGTCATGAGAATGCTTAATCCTGACTATCCAGATAAGAATCATGTCATCATCATTCTGTAATCGCAACCCAAACACAACCCTCACTCTGCTCATTCTTTCCATTCGTTTAGCAATGTGAACACCTTTATTGCTGTTCCATCTCTAAATGTCACAGAGGAATGACCCAAATGTAGTGCCACTATGTTTGTTTACAGACATGACAGCATCACAACTCTGATCTGTTTCATGGTGCATGAGCACATTATAATATCTGTGTTAAAAGGTCTACTTTTTCTGTAGTGTGCATGCAAACAGAAGTAGAGTGTAATTTTGGAGATGCTAAAACAGACTTTTTGGACTGTCGTAAGGCGAGGTAATAAATAAGATATAAATAAATGAAACTGATGTTACACCGTCTCTTGTCTTTTAGCCTCTGATGGTGACAAATCATACAAATTGCAAAGGCAAACATGATGACTAACTGCTACACAGAAACCAAAATAAAGCCGCAAATGTGAATGAAATTGATGTGGCAGTCTATAATGTTAAGAGGTTTGTTGACAAAAAGCACTCCATTAGCCGGCGCCAACACACCAAACCATGGTGATATATTGTGATTTTAACATGCTTTTAAAACCCTATACAGTACATATGTCTCTTGGTTAAGCAACATTTACATGTATCCACAATCACACACAAACAGGCAGTTTGTGAAACAGTGACTTCTTCTAATTAGTTGTCCCATTATCCAGTCTCCACTATGGCTAATGCAGAGTTTGAGACTTGTGCTGTCAGACAACAGAATTGAAATGAGACGATTTAAATTGTGGGTGACTCTGTGGCTCAGTGGTTGGTACTGTCATCTAACAGCAAGAAGGTCCTGCGGGGTCCTGTCAGTATGTTAGCTCTGGACTGGCAACCCATCCAGGGGGTTTGCCTGCTTCCTGCTCAATGCCTGCTCCAGCACCCCATGACCCTGAATATGAATAAGTGCATGGGGATAAAAGATGAATAGATGGATGGATATTTGGATTTTTTTAGTCTTTGAATTTAATGTTAGTATTTAAACAGCAGAATAGTCCTGTATTGATACCTGCTAAAGTTATAAAATGAATGAAAATTAGGGCTAAAAGGAGCAGAGTGTAGTGGAATCCAGCGGTGTAGTTGAAGAAGCAACTCACACGCTTACCCTCCACCCCCAAGCACGCAGGAGAAACTACAGTTGCCTCGAAACACGCAAAAAACATGAATGAAGAAACATGTCGCACTCCGTGGAACGCAAGCGTTTGTATATAAAAATGGCTTATTCTAAACAAATTAATTTTAACAAAAAGGTGATTATACACCAATGAAAAAATAATTATGTATAATATATTTCATTAATGGCAGATCATCCTAAACATCACACAATGAACCTTTAAAATAAAGATTCTTGGTAAACATACATTGCCAATAGCATTTTGGTCAAATGCGGCCTCTCTTAAAGCTCATGCTTTGCGCTACCCAGATCATCTTTTCTCTACAGTGGGTCTGTGTATGGGGATCTATCCATGGTGCTGAAGCTGCAACTCATGGCTAGCCAGGAACATGTTAGGGCTTGTAAGCAGGGACCACTCTAATAAAAGTCACTTTGAGGTGACATCTGTCTACCAGCAGTTCAGAGGAACTCAATTTAGGCTTATAACCAAAACATTCATTTGATTGTCGAGCAAAGAGAGCCTGTCCTTCAAGTTCTTCCTGTCATTTGAGAATTTAGTTTGAAATGTCACAACCACAAAGTCAGTCCGAGCCCTGCTGCAAGGTTAAAATCAGTAACATTGATAAAAGACTTAGGATAGATACGAACAGTCAAAGTAAGTCCATTGTCCGTGTAATATATACTGTATTGTGCACTGACTGCAAACTCTAAGCATTATGCTCTCTAATAGATATTACCTACAGTATTGCCACAGGCATAGTCAGTCAGAAACCGTCTATTGGGATAGCTTGGGCCTCCAGAATTTTAACACTAAATCGAAAAAAAGGCTGAAATGTTTATTTCATTTATCTGCCGAATGGATTACAAGCCAATGCAACAGCCCTGCAATGAATCCTATTTTTTTTGTTGAGACTTTGTCAGAGATGTGTAGATTAAACCCCAATGTATGTAAAACAGGGTGGACAAAACATTAGAAATGCATCTCAGCAGCAATCCAATCCAATACAAACCACAGCCAAAGTAACTACAGAGCTGGAACCAGCCAGATCTACACCCACTTTATGTGCTGATCACACCTGCACTTCATTTACTCCACTGACACAAATGTATGTTTTATGGGCTGCTGGGGACATAGTAGTACAGAACACTCCATGATAAGGACAACACTTCCTGTCAAGAATCTTAGATATGTCTCTGCTGCATTTGTACTGTAGGTCCATGCACTGTATGAGTAACCTGTAGACCAAAAACAATCAGGGGTGACTTTCCAGACTGTATGAGTAAGCATCTTCTCTATGGCACATTAAACATTTCTGCTATAGGACATACAGTTAGTCCATCATCTGCCTGAGCAACCCTTTGCACAAGGCCACAGAGAATGTGACCCAAGATAAGTCCATTACAGCAAACAGTGAGCACAGTATGATGAATTCTAGGTTTTGACACTTTTGAAGGACTATACAAGTACAAGGCAACCAGCATATGAGATCTAAGGAGTTAAATTAATTCAAAACAATATACTTAAGGTTTAGAACACAAAAAAAAGTTTAGTGTTGACTCATTTTTTTATGCCAGCACGCATTTAGAACCACAATACTGTACCACAAAGCTGCCAAAGATTGTACTCGAGTAACGGATCAATTGTTCAATTAGGGCAGCCCTTATGAATAAATGAGTAACTTTCGTCTACCCCAAGCCATTAAATAGTTGGCCTATGGTAAGATAGCTCATATCAAGACTAAATTAACCAATTGTGATATGGCGCACTGGAATGGCGCATTGTGATTTTAAGCAGACGTATAAGAGGAACAATCATTTACTGTACATCATGTGGGATACCGTAGACGAGTCGGTATCTTCTGGATGCACTTGAACTGAAAAGATCATGGGTCGAATTCGCTTCATGCCACAGCCCGGTGTGTTTTTCGAAAGCCAAATGTGAAGCAGGATGTAATTTCAACGAAAACATTTAGTAATAGATGTATCCATAAACTTACCGTCGGTTTGGGTGTACAGAAGTCCACAGAGAAAGAAATACTGTAGAGGACCCATTCTGGCATATTGGCCCCGTAAGCTATCGGCGCATGAATTCCTCCTCAAGCGATCAAAAAACCCCAATCAATGAATCAATCAAGCCTGTTTTCACTTGTACGACTTTGAAGACAGTTTACAGTTTCAAGTGAGTGAACTTAAGCAACCAAAACAGTTATTTCAGCCGCTGAAAGAGATCATTCTCAGTCGCATGTCCATTCTTCTTCCTCTCCAAGAGCGCACCAGTAAGCAGTGGTCCGTCGACTCGCCGACACGTTGGGAAATTTCTGCAGTCACCAATTGCAAACATCACCGACGCCCAAAGACATTCCAGTTACCGATGGTTTCCCCCCCCCCCCATCCGACCCGCATTCTTCTGACACTTTACCGGCTCCCACCGCGGGGAAACGCATCCATCCTCACGCGGGACAAGTTGAGAGATGAAAGGTGCAGATGGGATTCAGAGGTGAGTAGCTGCACGGTGCAGCAGCACAGCACAGCCCCTCCTCTTCACTCCGCTGCCCTGGGAGAAACTAAACGGAGCATATAACACACACAATGGATGGGAGCACTAAAACTCAGTAGCACTTTACATTCTGGACAATTGGATTTCTGATAATGATGCTAATTAGTGTTTCTTTTCATTTTTGATGGGAGACAATTTACCCTAAACAGCTGATACATTATTAGACATTAGTCTTTGCAGCATTGCCAATGTACAAATAAAAGTATGCTGCTTATATGGTGTTTTTTGTTGCTCAGGTTTTGTTTTCTCTCTTAATTCAGTCCTTTAATGGATGTCTTAGCACTGCCTTCGGAGGATTTTTGTGATAATTATTTAATTGCATGGCTGCCCTTATCAGCTTACAAGTAACCGAAAACTCATTAAATGTCCTTTTCTTGTGCTTCTGTGTTTTGTTTAGATTTTCATCTGGTCCTAACATTTTATTAAAATGTAGCATCAGGGCAATGTCTTGTGCACACATGAAGGACAGTTTACCAGGTTTAAATCAGGACAATAAAATCCAATTAAAAGAAAATAAACACCCCAGGCTAATGCTCTGGTCCACACAACTTGAGAGACTGCAGATTTGTCACTGGAGCCATTTTGTTAGTCCAACAAACCAACATGTCTTCTCTGTCTCCACAGAATTGATGCATCACATCTGTATTATTGTTGTATGTATTTTGTCTTTATACCCTTTAATTTCTATAGATATGTCAAGATATAGATAATGTGTTAAGTCAAAGCATTTAAACAAAGCCCTCTAGTTTTACTAGGTGGTATTTCATTTTCATGTTCATGGTTGAAAAAGCTATTACAAAGGTGTACAGCTGTTAAAAAACAAAACAAAAATGGCACTTCATTCCCGCCTATTGCCTGAGGTGCTTATCCTGCCTTGTCATCAATACTGCTCAATATTGTCAATAGCATTATAAATGCAGTGCCTCACCATGAGACGAGAATGAGATGGGCTGCATCAGGTGCTATTGATCCAGAGGGTGAAATTAAACCATTTTTGGCACAGTGTTCACGGCAGTAGATCGAATAATAATTGTGGACGATGGCTAAATCGAGTCTGTATGAAGGGGGTGTAAAGTGAACACAATCATTTGAACTGGATAGATCTCATCCATCAGAGAGAGATGTTTTCAATAGAATTGTCCTGCCTGATTGTTCTTATGGCAGCTCAGCTCAGCTCATGGTGTTGTGAGGACCTCTTGCCTCTCAAAAGCTTTTTGTTTACGCTTCAACAGTGCAAGCCGTTAACAAAACTGAAGTGCTGGAATATATAAGTGCCATTTTTGGGGAGAAAAAAAAGGGAAAAAGAGTATTCTATCCTTAAAAACCACAATGCAGTGCAATTTAAGTAACTTCTCACTAATTGTTATTTAGATTTTATGCGGAGGGTAACCTTAACCCATTGCATGTTCTGTCTGTCAGAAGTGCAAAGAGATAATAAATATGCTTTTCAAGACATTAATAACCTCACAAAATCCATCAAGGTGAACTTTAATGATCTGAGAAGGAAACTTCAAGTACATGTTAGTGCTAATTGTACCAAATGACTTATCCCAGCAATTCATCACGAGCTCTTACTGTTAAACAAATGTTAGTATCAATCTCATATCTCTTCCCTCAGGGAGTTGGGAGAGTAGTGGACTAGACATAGTGGACTATTGGCGATGGAGCTAAAGCCAAAATGGTAATGTCAGTGTCTAAATGCAATGGAGATATTAAAATATTCAGTCTGAGAAGGAAAAATGTGGTGATTAATGAGCGTCATCCAGTGTCACACAGTTAAGAGTTATAGACATGAAGTTTGAGACCGTGTACTGTGTATGGTGAAGCACTACGTCTACTGTAAACAACACAACAGAGATTTTAGAATAAATCATTAACATGTCATCGGATTTGGTTACATCTGTCAAGCCAGCCCATTTTTAGCTTAGCGACAACCTAGAGTTGATTATATAGCATCTTTTTGTTTAATACATGGCTTGCAATTCAATATGTACAGTGTATTAAATGACTGCCCACATATTCTGTTGGAAATCTGGACAATAGTGTTCTGCTGCTACGTTTTTGCCACCCTATTATGTATCGTTATATATCACTGATTTAGTTTTTATGTTGTCCTGCTAAGAAAGCATTTAAAATGGTTTACACAAAGGTCCATTCAGAAGCACCAAATATGAATTATTAAGTAAGATTCAAAATAAGTAAATAAAATACAAGGCATATTTTCAAGCACTCCTTGCTCTCTTGCTGCACACCAGTAAAAGTGATGTTTCTGTAAATGCTAATGCTCGGAATAAAGCTGAGTTAAATTCAGGGACACTGATCATATTTGACTGAGCCAGACTTACTTACATCTCACTTATGACAAGAAGACTCAAGCTGACACAGCCTCTGAAAATAGGTATGATGCATGTGGGAAAATTGCCTTCATATATATGGTTAGGAGAATGAAAATAGCATTAAAATGGAGAAATCCAGGGGAAAATGGCATGTGGCACAAGTAATTGCATAATGGCATTTGATGTCTGGCATGAGGTCAAAAAAGAGAATGTACGTTTATTGAGTGAGGTGACTTGATGTTTATCTTTGAAGTTGAATAAGATAAGAGAGGCAGAGAAAGACTCCATCACACACTGAGACAGACATGTTTCCAGGCAACCTAAGATTCTGCTGCCTTTCTCTCACAAACCAAAATCAAAAGGGCTACTGGCTCTCATTAATCTACCTCTCCCTCTCTCTGTTCATCACACGTAGGAGACAGTGTCAAGGTCACAAGTTTTGTCCGCACCATTACCTACTCATAACCGTGTTTGTCCAAGCCAGGAGTGTTGGAGGTAACAGATGGCGTGTGTGACAGTGTGTTCAACACCAGGCATGCTCAGCCTTAGTGAGAGTAGACAGAGTAGACATGTGTCCTGCCCACATAGCCCAAACCTGTATACAAGTAGTGACAAACGTCTGTCTAACAGCTTACGGTGTTCAGTCCAGTGGACACCTGAAACAGTGCCTTGAAATTTACACCAGTGATTATAATATTTTTTATATTGTATTCAACCAGATCATTTTAAAAAGCCACACGTTGTTTTACCCACAGCCACATTGTATCACACAGCATCTGCAGCATCACAATATGTGAAAACTGTTGTGTTTGGGTTTATTTCCAAACATAATGTCTCCAATCTTTGATTTCCAGGGACAAGCTGGAAGCACTGTGTTTAGTTTAATATACATATATTTTGTTAATAGAAACATGACTTTTTCACCTATAGCTATACCTATAATTGTCCATGTTGCGACTTAGAGAAAAAGACATTCAATAAAACCATATATAGTTTTTTTAATATATATTTTTAAGTACTCTGGTCATTTCCCTTACCATCAATAAAAAGTCAATGTTCCTTCTTTTTTTATACTACTGCTCCCCTACTTTTATTGTGCTTCAATATCTTGTTTCAATAAAGGCATCAAATACAGGAGAGAGGAAAAACCCCTTGGTATATTGTTCCACTGTGACCGTAAGCTCCATTTGGCAGGCTACTGGTTTCATCTCATCATTTTAGATTGCAGATCACTGAGTCACTCTGGCTCTCAAATTGCTCACTATGATAAATAAAGTTGAACAGTAAATTGTTCCATATGAGATCAATTATGTTGTAATGTATTGAACAATCCATCAGTAGCAGTGACTTGCACCTTTGGCAGCTGTGGTTTGTTTCCGCCTTGCGCATCTCCCCCTATTGTTCAGATTGGCTGAGTTCCAAAAGTTATTAGGATAATGTGTAGGGGTGTTTTCATGGCTGTCAGGTAAATGTGTTCTGTGCTTTCTTACAAGTGCAACATGAGGTATGCAGGGGCTTACCAAAGAGAGACAGTGAAAGCTGTCTGTGGAAGTGGGGATGGTCCATCTGACTGTTCAAGCAGCAAATCCCTATAGATTTGCTGCTTGACCAGTCCCAACACAACAGCGCACAGCAGACTATGGACCATGTCATGAAAATTGATGGTCACATGGAAGACTATTGGACAGTATTGCTGTGATACTAAAAGGCTGTTACAGACAGAAAAAAAACATACACACGTTAGCTCACTATATTCCAATGGCCCGTCACCAAGTGCAAGATAAGATGCTTCATCAATTTTATCAAAACATGCATCTATGTGCTGCTGCCAGCAAACAAAAACCCTCAGTTAATAACTAACTGAATGAGATTATACCATCATGCACTAATGGCATGGTCCACGGACATTCTGATAAATTTTACACTCTTCTTTTTATTGTGCTTCTATAAGACCTGCTTAAACAGAGTTGGGTAGAGAGTGAGAGTGAGAGCTGCTGGATTCAAAGATGGCAAATTCTAGGGATAGAAAGAGTACTACATTATTTGACTCTAGTAAATGTACTGTTATTGTTGCTGTTACTTAGAAACTCTACCTATAAGAGCAAGTAAAATTGTGTAAAAATGTACTTGGATGAAAGTAAAAAGCAAGTCAGTTAGAC